GAGATCTATCAAAGTTATGGATTTTTCTCCTTATAAACAGATTCTGGGCCTATTTTTAGCACAGTCTACCCATTAAACTGCAGAAGGTAAGGGGTCCTTTAAAGCTACCTTAGGGAACCTCTGAGATTCAGTTAACTAAAATAAAGAACTCTCAAATATGCCTACATCCTAATCCTTGGAGGTTGTAAATATGTTCCATATATGAAAAAAAAAAAAAGACTTTTCAGATGTAATTAAGGGTTTAATGTTGAGATAGGGAGATTACCCCCAATTAACGAAGTAAGCCCAATATAGAATCCTTAAGAGTAAAGAAACTTTTCCAGCTGTGCTGAAAAAGAGATGTAATTATGGAAGAAGAGTCAAGGAGAGTTACCATGTTATTGGATTTAAAGATGGAGAAAGCCAGCTAGGAGCCAAGGAATGTGTGTAGCCTCTGAAAAAGGCTTCTCAAATCAGCTTCTCAAATTCTCTTCTAGAGTTATCCAAAGAGAATAAAACCCTGCTGATACCTTGATTTTAGCCCAGTGAGACCTGTGTCAGACTTCTGGTTACAGAACTGTAAGATAATAAATTTGTGTTGTTTTAAGCTACTAAATTTGCGATAGCTTTTGTTTGTAATAGAGAACTAACACAAATTCCGTCACAGGAAGCCATCTTATTCTATCATCATTATAATTATCATTGTCCTTTATCAATTAAGTTTCACAAGTACTGGATCTCCCATTGTCTTATCTCTCCAGAAGTCCCTCATCCCAATTATCATAGGAGGATGCTATTCAAATAATTGTGATGGAACAATTGTGATGGCTAGGTTTAATTCTGCTCCAGTTCAGATTTTTTAATTTTAGACTGAAGACAATACAACTCTAAAAATCCAATCTGAGGGTTTATATTCTAGAAGAAGGGTCAGCGAACCTTTTATGTAAAGGGCCAGATAGTAAATAGTTTGGATTTTGTAGGCCACGTAATCTCAGTCATAACCACTCAGCTTTGCTCTTACAGCAAGAAAGCAGTCACAGACAATATGTTAATGAATAAGCATAACTATATTCTAACAAAACATTTACAAAAGCAGAAAGCAGCCAGATTTGGCTTATGGGCTATAATTCCACCCCTGATCTAGAAAAAGTTCAATAACTATTATATTATATTATATTACATTTGTTATATCAACCAGGGGTCTGTAGAAATAAAGCCTGAAGCAAGGCTTGAGTGTTAATGTTTAATCAAGAAGTGCAATCACAAGAGAAAAGTGAAGTAAAATGAAAAAGTAAAAGTAAGATGATTCATTGTCACACTAACCACTATTTCATGGGAAGAAGCAAAAAAGACACAACCAGTCACTCAGCAGTTATTAGTATGGACTTATAGGATGTCTCCAAATGTTAGTGAGAAAACTATAACTCAAAATATCCCAATAATAGGGAGAAATAAAAGGATAATTTATTTCTTGCTTCTTGTCTGATATTGGTCAAGGTTTTCAACATGGAAAGTCAAAAACTCCTCCCTTCAGAGTAGTGTTATTTGGCCTCCTTGGCATCTGTTAGGGAAGCCAGATTGAATGCCTTATGTTGTGGTATATCTTCTGAATCCAGAATTAATGGACTAAACCTGATACTCTGGGCTATTAAAAACCAAATATTAAATGATGTAACTGTAAAAAAAATCAAAAAATCAATATTTTTTACACTAAAACAATGAATTATGAAATTGGTCTTAAGAAGATTAAGTCATGAGGGCAATAAAACTTATGCAGAACTTAGAATTAAGTTAGCAAAAGATATGTAAGACTTTTATGAAAAAGTCATAGAGTAATATAGAAAAACAAATGAAATTAAACATATCATGTTCATAGAACAGCCATATCTTAATCTTAAACACATAAATTTTCTCTAAATTACATGTTCAAATTTTAACAAAATCCCAGTTGAAAACTATAGTGCTTCATAAACTGAACAGAAAACAGCTTACCAACTATCAAGACATTTTGTAAGTTATTACAAATTAATAAAGTATGCCATTGATACAATAATAGATGAATAATGAAACAGAAGAGAAAGTCCAGAAGACTCAAATATGAGAACTTGATATAAAAGTGAGTTTTCCTATATATCAGTGGAAAATGATAAGTGAATTATTCAATAAATGAATTAATTTTATATTTATAATATATCAAACCAACATAAAATAAATTACATGTAGATTAAAATATAATTGTGAAAAGCAGAATCTTAAAATATGAAATATGACTGAATATTATAATAGGAAGAAAAATATTTACTGAGTAAGAAAAAAGCAGGAATCAATTGAAAAAATAAATTCAGTACATAAAAATCAAAAACTTCTATGTGACAAAATGCTAATGGCAGAAAAACTGACACATAAGAAGTGATTATTTAAGATTATATGCTAGTAAGTATAGAAATGTTACTGATTTATATATATGGAGTTATAACCTGAGACTTTGCTGATTTTATCTATTCTAGGAATCTTTTGGTGGCAGTCTTTATGGTATTCTAGATGTTAGATCATATCATCAGCAAAAAGCAATGGCTTAACTTCCTCTGTCCTAAGTTGGATGACCTTTATTTCTTTCTCTTGCCTGACTGCTCTAGCTAGCACTTCTGATATGTTGACTAGAAGTGGTTGACAGTAGACATCACTTGCCTTGTTCCAATTTGTTTATTTATTTTTTAGACTGAGTCTCGCTCACTCACCCTGGGGTTGAGCGATGTGGCGGCTTAGCTCACAGCAACCTCAAACTCTTGGGCTCAAGTGATCCCCTTGCCTCAGACTCCTGAGTAGCTGGGACTACAGCCGCCTACCACAAAGCCTGGATATTTTTAGAGACAGAGGTCTTGCTCTAACTCAGGCTGGTCTCAAACTTCTGAGCTCAGGCAATCCACCCACCTTGATCTTTGTTATTAAGGGGAATGCTTTCAACTCTTCCCCATTCAGTATGATATTGGCTGTGGATTTGTCATGTATGGCTTTTATAATACTGAGGTATGGCCCCTCTATGTCTAATTTGTGAAGAGTTTTATCACAAGAGGGTACTGAATTTTATCAAATGTTTTTCTGCATCTATTAAGATGATTGTGTGGGCCTTGTTTTTGTTTCTGTTTAGGTGGTGACTCATGTTTATTGATTTGCATATGTTAAATCATCCTTTCATCCCTGGATGAAACCCACTTGATCATGATAGATTAGTGTTTTGATATGTTGTTGAATTTGGTTTTCTAGTATTTTTTTGAGGATTTTTGCATCTATGTTCATAAAGGATATTGGTCTCTAGTGTTTTTTTGTGTTTTTTTCTAGCTTTATTAAGTGGAGAGTCAAAATCAAGAACACAGTATCATTTACAATAACTACAAAGAAAATAAAATACCTAGGAATATACTTTAAAAAGGAAGTTAAAGACCTCTCTAGAAAGAGAACTTTAGAACACTAGTGAAAGAATTTTCAGATGACACAACTAGAAAAGCATTTCCCTGCTCAAGATTTGGTAGAATCAACATCATTAAAATGTTTATACTGCCCAAAGTGATTTATAAATTCAGTGCAATCCCCATCAAAATACCAGCATCATATTTCACAGATCTAGAAAAAAATAATTCTAAGCTTCATTTGGAACCTAAAAAGAGCCCACATAGCCAAAGTAATCTTAAGTAAAAAGAACAAATCTGGAAGCATCACATTGCCTGATATCAAATTATACTACAAGACTATAGCAACTGAAATAGGTTGGTACTGGTATAAAAGTAAACATGGACCAACAGAACAGAATAAAGAACCTAGAAATAAAACCTTCTACCTACAACCAAAATGGATAACCAAATTTCCAACATCATTGATTCAATAATTATGTCCTGAAATACCTTCTCTAAGACATAAGGTGGCCATAAAGTTTGTGTGCAATTTTAAATTGCACACTGTTAAATTTCATGTGAACTTTATTGTCACCCTGTAAATAAAATTCCACCCAATGCCTAAACCACTTTGGGAATATCTATTAAATTCATGGATCTTTTTGTATACCTTTGTACTGGTATCACTTTATTTTCCCAAAATGACTCGGCTATTCTCAAACATTTTCTTTCTCTGATGAGTTTTAACATCAGTTTGTGAAGCCTTTAAAAATACACTCTGGTAATACCTGATTGGAATTACACTGTATTGATGGATCAATCTGAAGGAATCCAGTGTTGTTCCACTGAGTGGATTTGTCTTTTAGGTTCAACTTTTGTTAGGCTAATTCAGTTTTTATCCTTTAAAAATAGCCAAATCTACCTGCTAAATAATTTATTAATGTTTTCTTTAGTACTTAGCATCATTTATATACTTGAAAAAACATTATTTATAATGATAGTGATATTTTTTATCTTTTCAGGTTATCAACTTCATTTCCTCATCATCAATGGCAAATTATGAAATAATCAAAATGAGTAAGGATTATTTCTGTCATTGATAAAATGTTCTATGTTAGTACATATTTATAAAATAAATATTGTTTAGTTAATGTTATTTAATATTGGCCATTTATCACTACCAAAATTGAATAACAGAGGCAAACAATTAATAACATTGATAATCATATCATTAAATTCAAGCAATGAGTATTTGAAAATTAACATTGTACATGTTAAATTTTTTAAATCCTCAAAATTCCAGAATTAAATTATCCACTTTAGTGCAAAGTAAAACTAAAGACTTGATTTGGAACCAGTATTAGAATGAATCATTCATTGATTTAATCATTCATTAATTTAACAAATTCTATTTTTTTTTTTGCAGTTTTTGGCCGGGGCTGGATTTGAACCTGCCAGCTCTGGCATATGGGACCAGCATCTTACTCCTTTGAGCCACAGGCATTGCACAAATTCTAATTTTAAATAACAGTGAATACCATGAACTACATTAAATATAAAATAACATTAAGAAACACCTTTTTTCAAAAATAAGGAAAACAAAAGCAAGAATAAAGATGTTATCATACTCACCTTCCCTTCATCTCTTGGACTATCACTTAAATGTACAACTGGACCAGGATGCGTCTTGGTGGATCTGTTAAATCAATTCAAAACAGTAATTAAAAACCAAATATTAAAATACCTTACCCTATTAGAGACTGAAACAAAGAAGTTAAGATTATGTTGGAATAAACTTTCAGTATTCTGAAGTTAAGTTCAGATTCACCTGAATTTTTGGTTTTCTTCGCTACTTTTCTTACTCTTAATTCTATTAAAGTAATTTTTAATTTAATTTAAAAAATATCAAGTTGAAATACAAAGATTAATATAAAATTGGGGTTCTTTATTATCTGATACGCCTGTTGCCAGATAAGGGCCTCTGAGAAATTGTAATTTAACTTTTATATATACAGACAAAAGAATAGTTACAGTTGATGGTATAAACCTGTTTAAATCAAGTCTCAAAGTAAATACTTAATTTAAGGTTTCCTAAAATCTTCTCTGATTTTTCCCCTGAGAAAAGTGCAAAAGCACCTTTGATTTAAACAGAAGCTCAATCTAGTGATAGCCATCTTACAAAAAACTGACAGATTGGGGAAATCCATTTTATTAGTTATATTTCATTCATCTCATCATCTAGCATAATCAATAACAGATAATTATGAATCTAATATAATCTTAAGGGACCTATTTTCTGTCAATTTGACTTTAAATTTATTTCACATTGACATCTGGCATGCTTATTTTATAATTCTTAGTCTAACTTATATCATTATTGAATATGATTAGGTATGTCATGGTCAAATATTTTATAACCTGATACAATCAGAGATTTATTATTGCCCAATTTCCCATCAGTTCCTTCACGACCTAATCATCCAGATTAATCCTATTATGATAACATTGATATAGTTTTAATTTATTTCTTAATCACAAATGAAAAGCATCAAAGATTCTGTACAATACAATGAAGAAGATTTAAATCACAGAAAGTAGCTGGAATCAGAGAAAAATGACAAATTAATTTTAGGCTGCCCTATTACTGACTCCTCAAAGTGACCCAAAGGAATAAACACAGATTTATTACTGAATTTTGTGAGTGGATTAAGCTTAAATATTCTCATCTAAAAATAAAAATAGTAGCACTAACCCTACTGAACAATTGTGAAGATTAGAATGACATACATACAGTACCTAATATAATGGCAAACATAGTACACATTCAATAGTATGCATTATTATTATGATAATTGAAAATCAAAGTTACTATTTGCATTTTAGAATACATTAAGGAAGAAATTAAAGAAGGATGCATAAAAAGTCTATAGTGCTTTCCCCAATTCTTTCCACATTTATATGTAATACATCATTTACACATAAATGCAGTGTTCTATAAAGCGATAATGTGCTTTATAATAATCCTTCTGATACAGGATAATGTCCTTAAACTATCCTTTAGGAATTAATTCTAGCCAACAAGCAACAACATTCATCTATTTCTTTGATTTGAATGGACTAACATTTACCAAATGTACTCTATAATAAACTAGTGGAAACATAAGATGTTTTACATAAAGAGTGTTGCATGCCAAAAAAGTTAGGGAAACCCAGGCTTAAAGTTAAATAATTTTTCCTATAAAACTTCTCAGAGACTATTCTATTTATATAAGCATTGCAAATCTTTACTATTTTAGAAAACTATTGGTCCATCAAAGCCTTTTTCATTGATCATATTAAAGGAATCGCTGAAATATATTTTGGGAAACACTAGATCGTAAGCAAGACTTTCCCATTAGATTCTCAGATTCCACAAAACACTCTGGTTCAGAAAATAATCTATATCACAATAGGCTTCTTGATGGTTTCCACTGTGGACTTTTCATTCTCTTCCCATATCTTAAATATTGGTATTCCTTGATATCCTGTCCTAGACTGTCATCTATTCCCATGTAATACGTGGTCATGAATTCCAAAGCCTACAGGAACCAGGCATATATTGCAAATGAGTTAAATAGGCTAAATAAGAACTGTGCCAAAGT